CTGCTGCTTAACGTGATGGCCTTTATTTGAGAGGGAGATATAGGTGAGAGGTGAACTCTGACAATGACTGCTGACAATGAAGTGTTTCATGGATCAGCCATGAAGAAGTCTCCTCATGTTCAAAAGTGAAATAACCCAACGAGATTGTTTGGTATGCTACTGTTGATATTCAACAGTTCAAATATGATATTCCTGCATGTAGTCGTCATGAATGCAGTAATGAGATAATATCCTCAAAAGTCAGGATGTCTCTATTTAGCAACTTTAAAACCACTTTACAAATGCACATAAGTCTCTGGTATTATGAAACGTAAGTTTGACACCTTGTCATTGTTTCTGAAGGATTTAAAGGGATAGTTTTTATTTTTATTTTTAGTTGGGGTTAGATTAAGAACTAAAAATGTAAAAACAAAGACTAAGTATATAAACCACAGGAGAACCACTTGTTGGAGTACTAATGGCACTGAAGCTAGGCTACACATTTTGAGAGAAAACTGAAAACTGATCTGAGGGGAAGCGTACACACTATATTTAGAAATGTGCATTCAGCAAAGCCATTTCGTTGAAGCACTATTTCACAATGCAGCACATACTTGCTACATTTAATATACATTTATGTAGGGTTTTTTTTTTTGCACCAATGAACACCAAGACAAATTCTTTGTGTATGTGAATGTAATTGGTGTTCAACCTGATTCTGAAACATGTTCCTCCGCCTACACCACAGGGATCAGCTGTTCTGAGTGGGTGTCTCCCACTTACTATTGCGAAAATCCCTTTTACAGCCTCACAACTTTCCCTGTCAGGACACCTTTTTTTTTCCCCCACACATTCCTTCTCGCCAGGGTTTTCAATGAATGAAGTCTAACTAACTCTAATGGATAATTTGCCGCTAGTTGTTTGAATACATTCCAAAAAAAAAAAAAGAAGCTGTGCAGGAAGTTCAAAAACATTATTCGCGAGAGGAGAACATTTGACGGTGAGGACCTCAAACACTCAAGTTTTTTTTAATACAACTGTGTCAAACTTCTGCTCTGTGGATCTCGGGCTCCCCCCCCCCCCATTCACCTCACCTCTGCTCGCCACTCACACCTGCCTCATCAAGCAACTCAGTACCCCCCCGTTTTATTTTACTAGGAAATCTTGGATTCAAAATCTCTTCTTAAAAAGAGACCTGGCCAAGGTATGCAAAGAATGCAAATGAACAATGGTATTTCAAGAACAACGACATGCCTTTGTCACCACTTTCTTTAAGACACTCTTAAATTTACTCGGCCATATCAGTTACTCTGATTATAGCTTTTTCTGACTTTTATTCCATGCCAAAAGGTAAATAATAGGAATTGGCTGTTTACTCCAGATCTCTTCAAACTTAGGGTACAGTCAAGATCAACAAATGAAAGGATTGCAACTAGTAGGGCTGAATTAAAAAGGAGGGTATAGAGGCAGTATGGCTTTGTAAATAAAAATATGATATATATATGATTTGTCTGCGAGTTGGTAATGATGTCCAAGTCACAAGATCATAAAGAATAAAGGGATGTGTAAGGGACTTTAGTAATCAAACAAAGAGATGCATTATACACCGAATCAAGAGAGCATGAAGTGGATGAGGATACATGCATACACAACATGTCACCATAATAAATCACAGACAGAAATGTATCTTAAGCAAGTTTGTGTCATGGCAGTGAAGGCAAAGCCAGACTTATTTCTAACATAGAAGCCGATCATCTTTCCGAGGTCGAATGGGAAAGAGAGAGAGTTACACATCAAGCAGCAACGGGGGAAGTACAAGATGCATAAAAACAGAGAAATCCCCCCCTTCTGACATGTCTCGTGAAACACAACTACTGTCTCCAGCATGCAGCTACTTTCGTCTTTCTGTGACCTGATAGTACGGCAACATCAGGAGGCGTTGTAGTATCATTTCCTGTTAAGAGTGCCTCCTCTTCAATGTGACTAATCCACTTATATGGAAAAACTGTCATGTTTAACTAACATGTTCTTTAAGTTGACCTGCAGCTGCTGGAATTGTTCATTTCACTTGAAACATAAAAAAGGATTAAAACAGTTTGTTTGAAAATAAACACTTTGTTTTACTTCTTCATACCAAACTAGTTATTTCTTCAAATTTAGTTGCGAACATGGTGTGCAAAATGCAACAATTGTTCAGATTATTTGTGCTCATAGTAAAACCTTTGTTTCTAAATTTGAGTTGAAATTGACCCACAGCTCAGTGACTTGATTCATTCCTCTCCTAATGCCACTCACTCACTCACTCACTCACTCACTCACTCACTCACTCACTCACTCACTCACTCACTCACTCACTCACTCACTCACACACTCACACACACACACACACACACACACACACACACACACACACACACACACACACACACACACACACACACACACACACACACACACACACACACACACACACACACACACACACACACACACACACACACACACACACACACACACACACACACCTTCTTCAGGTAGAATAACGAGAACGTGCGTTGGATACCCTGCACGTGTTCTCTCCCATCATAACTCCCAAGTGCTTGACGTCTTGACGTAAGCTCAACACTGCGCATGCGCACTGTTGTAACGACACAAACGAAGCACAATGCGCCAAAAAATGGATACAATATATATTTTTTTTTTTAACGACACAGTGACAATGATATATTTCGAATACGTTTTGAGTTATTCACCAGCTGTCTTTATAAATGTGTGTGTGTGTATCGGTATGAGTGCAGTTACTATGGCCATGTTTACAATCTCTACATTAACCCTTTCATAACCCCTTCAAATGAAATCTTTAAGACTCGATTCTGGATCAGGTCCCGACCTTAAGAAGTTAAACTCGAGACACCTCACCCTTAGTTTGTCATCTTTCTTCGGAATAGCACATGGTCCACAGCCTCCAAGTTCACAAAATGACAACCGCTTTCTTTCTATCACCATGAAAACACCGGAGAAGTTGAACACTCTCCACACAGGCTTATGTGTAAATGATCCGCGCATGCGCAGTACCCTCAGAGGCGTGCGCATGATTTGACACGATGATAAATAATAACAGTGTCGGTAGATATATTTATCCTCAAATATTAAAAACAAGTATTAAAATCAACTTTAAGTCACTAGCAGCAGAAACATTAAAGCTCCTGATTGCCTACAACAAACCGAAAGTGAAATAAAAGTGGAAATATTCACTTGTAAAATTAGAATTAATCAAAGAAGTAACAAGAAGTCTACCAGCAAGAATTAGTCTCATGGTGGCTGAAAGGGAATAGCTTTTCTGTTAACTGTCTTGTTTCTAAAACAAATGTAGTTTGATAGCTTGTAAAATCTCCACAGTGTTTGTCGGGTTTCAAGTAAACTTCATCGTTCACGTTTTTTTAATGTAAAATTTCACATATTCTCGAATATAATTTGTGTCCTTTGCCAATTCTGATTTGCGAGCAGATTACTGGTGATATTTTTTCATTACTGATTTATATTTTCATGCAAAAAATAATGGAATTTCAAAAATGCACTCATCTGAAATAAAATTGTTAATCGTTTGACAGCCCTTAAAATAAGGGGGACAGTCCTGTGTTTCCACATGTCTACCACTAGAGGGAGACCAACATATTTTCTGAGCACTATTTGCAAATGCACGCTTTAAGATTATTTTGACCTCAGTTATTATGTTAATTGAATTTAAACATTTCAATCAAATACGTAGAGGCTTACATAATGTGTTTCCCCCTTATCTGTATGAAAAGAGATTGTGTTGCAATGTCATTCCTTAATTATTTTTGTTCATATTTGCTTTGTATATATTGCTCAAAAGCAAGAAATGAGCCCTGTTATAGAGTTTGTATTAGCTGTCATGTTTGCCTTGTATTGAACACTGATTGGCGCTTAAAGGCATCAGGGTTGATTGAAAAACAACAAGAGGAGGTTTCAAACCCCCCAAAAATCGAACTAACATAACTTTGTTAACACTTGTTAACCTAATCTAATTCGATTAAAACATGTCTGATCACAAGCATGATGTATTTAAATAAAGCAAACATAATTGTTTTATGCCAAACCAATTGATGCCCAAAAGCTGTTTTTTATGAGCGTAGAGGCCGATATCCCCCCAGGGACTTGATACACATTCTAACATTTCTATTTTTAATGTGCCCTGAGGAAGGAAATACTTCTCCAAAAAATGTACATACAATGATATTTAGCAGCGTGATGAAGTTTTCTGCAGTTTCAGTTTGATCTTCCAGTAATTTACTTCTTGAAATACACATTTCCAATGAAATATTAACTTCCTCACATGTTTCACCTCCTCTTTTCTGTTCAACTTTTTGTGACTACATTTAATCAATAGGAGGGGAGACCCCAGAAAGTGATGTAGGAGAACAAAAACATGTCATGTACTTTGTGTTTTTAGTGGAAGAGGGAGGGCAAATGTTGGAAAGTCCCATCAAACTTCCAACGTTTGTCTAAGGAGCTCAGACAATAAGCCCAGCTAGCCACAACTCATCAGGGAGCAGGAAGCCTGTGTGGGGAGGGGGTGACAGAGGGTGGGAGAGTTCAGCAGGAGTCTGCAGCCCCTACCACGTCGACCTCCTCACCTCCAGGAAACACCGGTGAACTTGCACACGTGTGGTCGTCTGGTCATGCAAAGAGTACCCAGCGTTAGGGAACCTGGAGGAAGCAGGTGCCCTACGCTTCATTGTTTCCACAAAAGTACCCAAAGGGGCAGAACAAAAACAAGAAGGTGGAAAACGATGAAGACATGATTCATGGGGAGAAAGAGTGCGGTAATGAGAGAGGAAGGAAGTCCAGGGAGGAGAGAGGCTGAAGGAGGGAAGTCTGGCAGAGTGCACACTGCTGTATGAGCTTAGAAACACGATTGGACTGCCCAGCACTTTGTATACAGTTTTAAACATGCAGTATTATTATTTTTAACGACACACTGAACACAAAAGCTCCAATTGATGTTAAAAAAAAGATTTAATTTAAATTGTACAAAACCATCTTTGTCCAGCAAATGAACCCATACACATACATAATGAATGCCATTATCATCTTTTCTCAGTGCTCATCTTAGAAAACTAAATCTCATTTAACAAGTCTACTTCACTATAAGACAGCTAAGTCCTTTGCCTGCCTGGACTGTTTGAGAAGAATTCACTTCATACTTTCTTTCTCTTGATACATGCAGGCCCCAGGCCTAAAGGTTCAGTTAAATATGAGTTAAATATATAGGTCAGAGGAAACTGCTGTAACTTAACGAAGATTAACTGCATCTCCAGACTTAACACAAATGAAAATGAACACCCTTCTTAAAACTTGCTTTCTCTTTCGTTCCGACATGCACATTCAAAATCCAGCGACATGCATCCTTAAAATACGTCTCCTTCTTCTTCAATTTCTTCCTCCCCTCTCTCTACACCTTCACAAACCTTCAAAAACACGTTCCTGAACATTATCTCCATCTCAGACAAGACAACCCAGATTTCTTCTGGACCTTACAAATCTTCACTCCAAGTCCCATCCAACAATGTGCTGCTTTTAAAAGTTATTTGTAGGTTGTCAGATAGCACGATATTCAAACCCTTGTTGCCAATAATTTAGATTTTGTTAACTCATTTTCTTATAAATGAAGATCCTTTTTTTTTTTAGGTATTATCCTGACACACTGGTCTGCCCTCCTCAGCAGGCCTGCAGCAGAGCCTGGTAGGGCTCGGTCAGGACCTTGTAGCGGATCTTGGTGTTGGTGACGGCTCCGTGTTTCTGCCGCAGGTGCAGACGCAGCTGACTCTTGTGGCGGAAGTGAAGGTCACACTTCTCACACTGAAACAGAAAGGGTCAAACACAACATTTAAAAAAAAAAAAGGGAGTTGAAGTAAAAGTGTTACATTCTGCGCTGTGGTTGGTCAGTCACTCACAGTATACGGCTTCTCTCCGGTGTGAATGCGCAGGTGGCTCTTCAGGGTTTGCAGGTGGCGGAAGCGGGTCCCGCAGGTGTGGCAGGGGTACGGTTTCTCCCCGGTGTGGATCAGAACGTGGGCCCTCAGATGGGCAACCTGACAACAAACAACAAACCGACAGCTCAAACACCAGAAAAGGCAAGATTCTGATTTATGAAACGTTGTCAGATTGATGGTGTGTGTCTGAAAGGTTCAAGTATGACATGTTTCCCACCTGGAAGAATTCACCCACCATTTAGAATGATTTTTAAAACACCTCTGGGTTCGCACGAAGCCAGGATTTAGACTTGCAAAACTAGTAAATGTTGACTGATACCTGTTTCTAAACCATGGCACCAAAAATAGAAGTCTTAAGGATCCTATTTTGTATAATTTCTTGTTTATAATTAACAGATGTCCAGTTGTCCAATTTATACATAAATATGAAACAGCATGCACAGCCGAGAGTACTGGACGCTGGCCAGAAAATACATCCAAAGACAGAAGGAAGACAAAGTCTGCACATCAGAAGCTGCTCCAATTAACATGATGTCTGATGAAGGGCTAGGGCCTGAAACGTCACGCGGTGATCATCTCAATTCAGTGTTAATTGGAGCAGCTTCTTGTCTGCGGACTTGGTCTTCTTTCTGCAGTTGTCAAATTTGAAAATATCTTAGGTTGTCCCCAAAAATAGGGTATAGACTGATTTTATTCTACCTCAATTACAATTACTAAAAAATGGCTGAAGATCTGTAGGTTTCTTCTTCGTGGAAAACGAGGGTACTTGTCGGTACGAACGATCATAATATGTTAACTTTTGACTTGCCTCTCTAGAATGACGTTTTTTTTCTGCACTGGTTGAAGAAACATCTGACATTCAACTACCTGATATTTCTCGCTCATAGTTCTCACTTTGGGAGTTTTTTTTTCGAATGACTCCTGAGGTAACCGAAGCATTAAGCGTTCTCCTTTCATGGAAACATCGTATTTCCTCACCTGAACAAATCGAGCTCCACAGGTGTCACAGCGATACGGCTTCTCTCCTGAGTGAATGCGGGAGTGAGTCTTCAGGTTGGCCGGTCTGTTGAACTGGGCGCCGCACACGTTACAGCGGTACGGTTTGTCACCTGGAGGGGCCAAAAAGCCAACGTCAGTTTTCTGTTTTTAGTTGAAGATGCTGAATGGGAACATTTTTTTTTTTTTTTACAGTCTCACCTGAGCAGACAGTCTTGGTTGCATGGAGGTTTCCAGAATAGCAGAAGGGAGCATAGTAGTTCTCACTCTTGATTGCATGTTGGGTGTGGCGGGAAGCTTCAGCATCAGTGGGGTGCAGGTGTGGGTAAATGCAGGGGGAGACTGAGGAAACATGCGAACAAACTTTGAATAAGAGCCTAGACATCAAAAAAGTGACATGTCTGAAATATAGGAGAGGTTTCATTCATACCTGCTCCTTCTTTTTGAAGGGGAGGCACAGAGGGGAGTGGCCCGAGGGGAGGGGCTCGGCCAGAACCCTCGTAGCAGGAGGCCTGCCCCTGTCTGAAGATGAAATGGATCTAATTACACAGCTGAAAAAAAAACTGTTTTCCTGCATGTGTTGTTTCATAAATCTCATCCCTTTACCTATCAATCTGACCAGGCACTTCTCCAGACCACGCCTCTGTAGTCGCTACTTTTAGTGTTGAGCCAATCCTGTCGCCCTCAGGTGCTGCGTGGCTTTGTGCTTCCTCCACCTCTTCCTCCTTCACCGTGGTGGATGCACAGAGTGGGTTGAGGACGATGTACTTGTACTTCTTCCAGTTGCAAGCCTTTGGATCCGGCTTGGCTTTGATATCCCTCTGGAGAAATAAATCCACTTCATCACTTGAAATCTATTGTAAATTAAACGTTCACTTTGGTAAAGAAGAGTTTTTATGGCACTTATAATACATTTATAATATGTTTTTTTTATACACACCACAAGGTTCTTGTTGCAGGTGTTGGATTCTGCAGGGGAATTTGGTTGGCAGCTGGAGCGTGTGGGGCTGTCTGGAGATGGAGTAGGGCTGCCGATGGGGGGCGACTCAGGCTCTCCTTTCAGCTTGTTTGACCCGGGCTGGCAGGTCAGGAAAGCCCCTGGCTTCAGAGAGCCCCCGACATCCGCAGGGACCCTGTAGAAGAAACACAGGAAGAGCTGTAATGAGCTGAACAAACGACCAAAGCAGGGCAGAAGTAATTTAATTGTGTGCAGTTACAGGCGTAATTCTGTACCTTGTTGCCACTGCTGTTGGGAGACATCTCTGGGGTCCAGGTCTGGGCAGGTCCCCTCCTTTAGGGGCAACACAAGCTACAGACACCCTGGAGTCCTGCTCCATTTGTGGGTGTCTTGCACTCGTATTCTCCCTGCTGAAAAACAAAAAAAATGTTTTAAAAAAAACTCAGTGAAAAACATGCAAGGTAGCACAAATAAGCGGTCCTTCTATTCCCTCACCAGTGCAGCTGCATGAAGTCCCTGCAGGTATCTGCCACGTGGTCCATCTGCAGGTGGGCTGCCACGGTGAGCACCCCTGGGACGGTGCTGGGAGTCAGAGGGAGGCGGGAGGTGTACATGAAGTCGAGCAGCAGGGACACGCAGGATGGGTCTAAGGTGTCGGGGAGGGAGATGGTCATGAGCTGCCCTCCACTGCCACCACGCCCCTGAAGAGGCACACAGCGGGAGTAAAACGAGTAGAAGAACCCACTGAGAGGAAAGAGGGAAAAATACAAAAAGAAAATATGAATCAACTGCAGAGATATAAATAAAAGATAACGGCCACAGTGGGTGGAGAGAAGATGGGTATAAAAAACTAAATAGGGACTATTTTGTGTCGATGCATTCATTTTTCCACTAACCTGCAAGCCACCAGCACTGCACAGTGTGCCTGCAGTTGTACATTGCCGACGACCAGGGTGGTGTCAGTCAGGATGTTGCGGTGCCGGAGTTCGTTCAGGTTGAGCAGCACATCATTGGAGTGGCGGGTGAACTCTTTCACGTATCCTTCAGCGGGGGCAGAAGACCTCATCATCTGCACTCTGTCTGCACGGTATCCCTCCAACACTTCCATCATTTCAATCTGCAAGGAAGGGCGTGGTAAGAATAAATAAAACAATAAAGCAGTGCACCAAATTAAGATTGTATTCTGATGCACAATGCAGACTTACCTCTGTGGAACTGATAGAATAAATAAACAGGAGTGTCCCAGACACTGCTGTTAGGTGAGACCAGCTCCCTACTCGTACCTGCACGCAGAAAACAAGAGTCATCCACTTTGTCTTAATCATGTATAATTAAAATTCACTAAAAGATAGATAGAAATGTAGCTAATAATAGCTCCTCAAGACATTCAATGTTGGGAAAACTCCAAAATGAAAACAATTTGAAATCCTATGTTTAAGCATTTTAAAACTGAATGTATGGACAAGACAAACCCTACATTTAACCCTTACATTTCAAGGATAAACCAATCTCCACTTTCAAACAAATAAGTAAAGCTCATCAAGCAGTTATTAGAAAGCTAATTAAAATGTAGATCTAGTAAGAAAATCTTCCTCCAACTTACCCCGACCAGCAGGGACGAGATCTAACGTTCCACGTGCTGCCTTCAAACCCCCGCAGCTCAGTCTACAGAGATGTAAAGCAGGGTCTCCTTATCAGCCTCCAGTGTTTCTGACCAGCACTGTGAGGAGAGGCTGGAGGGAAGGGACTCTTTATAACGTCGCGCAGGAAGCCCCCATACATCCAGATCTGCTCATTTCCTCTTTCCTCAATGGCCCACGCGTACACTGGAAGCAGCGCAGGAAAGGCCCTGGCCCAGGCCCCGGGCTCCAGGTATTTTTAGTGGACTATTAGTTTTTTTAAACCCCCATTGCTCTGAGTGAAGTAATGGCAGGAAAGCACAGTGTGTTTTTGTGCCACGCTGAGAAAATATATATGAGGACCCTCGGGGAGATGCGGTACGTGCCTGGCTGTCCAGGGGTAAGAGCTTCAGACTTCCCCCACCAACGCTTTCCTCCTCTTCAGCCCTCTTCAGGATGGAGGAAACAGTCTGAGAGGAAGCTGGAAGACCAGCTTATTGTTGGATAAACAAGCCGTGGCCTCATCATTAAGATTCAATCTTATCAAGGGAGTTTTCACTCATATTCTGCTTCAGGATTTCTAAAGCTTTACTCGCGGTGGCCCCTAGGGAACCTTTGAGTCATTGATAAAGTATAAATCGAAGAAGAAAAAACAACAACTCAAAGTTGAAATGCTGTGTTCTCCTTTTGTGTGCGAAATTCAGTGTGTTGTTTAATTTTGACGCAGTAATGTATGAAGTCATTTTGCATCATGCTAATTATTTTGTGTTTTGGGAAATGTCGTAGTTTTTTGTTAGATTGCCAAATGTTGTAGTTTCAGAAACATTTTTGTTTTATGTAATTTTGTGGTTTTTGCAAATGTTGCTTTGTTGAGACCTTCAGGGCCACCGTACTTTTCTGATTCCTCATGACATATTTAAGAAGCAGTGAAAATCAAAGGGAAACTGTGTCATTGCTGAGTCGTCCAGTTCAGGTAAATGGGCATTAATAAAGGCTCCACAACAGCGTCCGGAAGCTCCTGGCCTGCTGCCTGAGAGCAGAGGCGTCGTGTTATGAGCACCAAAGAGGAAGGAAGCAAATTGATCGTTCTAGATGGGAGACACCGTCCCCTAGCATGATGGTGAAAAACAACCTTCACCCCGTCCTGAATGAGAGAAATGCAGCCGACAGATGGGCAGGAACTACCCCACACACACACACACACAACCACACACACCCACACACACTCCTGAATGCATCCTGCAAAGCTGCTCCAACACATGGATGAAAACGCCTGCGCAGGACATCCGTCAATAATAAAGTGAGCAGGAGACAAGGGAGGAGAAATGGAGACTGGGGGGGGTAATTGAGCATGGGGGAAAGGGCTCAGAGGTCATGAATAACTCAAAAACAAGCGGAAAGTTACTGTCCCTCACAGTCAGGGCAGCCGCAGGTTCACAGAGAACCAGGAGCAGGACAGTTCATTGAGGCTCTGCAACAGTGAACTATGTTTCCTTCACATCAAAGAGTTTCACAGAAGGAGACATTGAAGAGGGAGGAGAAAAGGGCAGATAGAAAGCTGTACTTACAGGATGATGCAGCTGACACATCTCTGCTAACGAGAGGCTTGGTTGAACTTTTACTGATAAGATTTAGTGAGCTCATGGCTTTACAGGTTGTAAAAGTATGGAAGTCAATGCCCTGCTTGGAACAGTTTCTTAATTCCAATACGATGAACAACCAACAATGTAGACAATAACAATTATATCCTGTTAGCGGGTTTTAAATTGACATTTTTTTTCATGATGAATTAAATTGGTATCTGGAGAAATCAGCCTTTTATTTTTTATTTTTTAAAAGTGAAATAATTGACTTGTCATAGAAAACATGGCCACTATCTGCTGCCTGACAAAGTGTGCGCAGCTTGTGTTTAATAAGGTTGCAATACAATACTGACACACTATATTATATTTTATTTAAAATATTGTAATATAGTATTTAAATATTGTTTAATGTTATGTTTATCCATCTCAAACATGGTGTATGGGTGGATTTAAAACAATTGTTTACATGCAAACAGCAATTTCTTTTATATTTGTTTTGTCACATGTTGTATTCTTTTTTTTTAGGTTGCATGAAAAGTAATATTACAGGGACTGTGAGAAAAACAAATGCAGATACCGACATTCTGATGTAAAGAACCAATATGTAAGATATCTGCTGAATTCATTCAATTAACTGACCTTACTATATCGTCACATATTTAGGAAACATGCTTTGTTGACGTGCTGGCTTTTTTGTCAACAATTCAGCAGCCAGTATGTCCTCCTTCTAAGTTTTCATTCCTGTGTGGAATAGTATGTTTTTGTTTTGACCAGAGAAGGTAGGCGGTTTTTAAGGCAGCCCCACGCGGAGATCTCTTGGTTTGCCAGGGAAACGGCAAACCATCAGGTGTTGCAGTGATGGAAGAGGGAAAGCTCAAGTTCAGATAGAAGTGATTCTACTCGCCCTAAAGAGCCTCTAGCTCCACTAGCAGAATATTGGCTTGCTGAATCAATATTTGGAATTGCAACCCCCCCAATTTATTGACATGCATCATATTGCCCCAGTTTTGCTAATAAGCAGCCCCAACTGTTAATGGCAAAAAAATATTTAAGTATTCTTTTAAATTTGTGTCTTCCATGATTTAAGTGTATTAAACAGTACAACTGTTCCTGCAGTGGAACCAGGAGACACTTTGATACATATACATCATGTCGAGTTGCTTGGTTGGACCCAGGGAGTTTAACGGTGAGCTATTTATAGAAGTTAAATATATATCATAGATTTGTTTATTGAAAAGCAAATGTGTCGAAGTTGAATATTACGTTTTTTTGGTAATAAATTCTTGAAAAAACGTTCATCAGAAACGTGAGCATATGGTGTAAAGCTTGTGTGCGTGTACTTAAGCTTTTATTTCTCTGGATGGAGGTCAGATCAATTGTGTGCTTTGAAAAAAGAAAAAAAAAAAAAAAAGGAAAACAACGATTAAGAAAACAGAGGGGGAGGTGTAGGTCTCGGCTACTTCCAGGCTTTGTTAGAGGAACGGATGAGAGGGGGGGCTGGTTGAGGAAAAGTGAGAACATTACTAAACAGGTTCAGAAATGGGCGGAAGCCATTGAGTCCATCCCGTTGGCAAGATATGGTAGAGCTCATAGTGACTTCCTGCATCTTAGCCCTTGTGACAGCGCTCATCACGACCCCTTTTTGACAAAGTGCAGAGCTGCCACTTCTGAGCATCACTTTTAAGACTCTGATTAACTTGCATTTAACTAGTAATGCATTTCTAAAATATCTCTTAATCTGTTTTGTTTCAGCAGCTTATTTAAATTTCAACATCTATTTAATTGTCACTCCTAAATGCACAAAAGCGGGGATTCCCCTGTTTTTTTGCGGTTTCCTGGTTGCCTGGACAGAACCACATTGTTTATGTGACATTGTGTGATGCTTTGGCTTCAAACCTCCCAAGTTGGTGCCAAAGTGTTGATGTCTCCGGCAACAATAACAGATCAGCTTAAACGGCCTCTTCCTTTGATTGCAGAGCCTCTGGACATATAAGGGCAAACAGGACCCAGCTTCTGGGCTTGGCGGAGGAGGGGGAGGAAGCGGGGATATCCCAGGGAGTAGCCTCAGTTGTTTTTCCTCCTATTGGCAGAGACACACAGTAAGTAATACAATAATAATAATAGTACAGTTATGAAACCTTTCCTCTGAAAAAGTGCCTCAGGGAAAGCAGAAGGCCTCCAAAGTGGTGATGGGTGAAGCAGGAGGAGGAAGAAGAAAGAGGGTGGATGGGGGGTGGGGGGTAACAGGGAGAGAGAGAGTTGACCCAAATCTCATGAACCATTGACTTCCATGTTCAGGGTAGTAAACAAGTAGATACATAGATTAAAAATACATTATGACAAAAACTGTACACTCAAAAATCCAAACAAAAGTATTTCATTTAACATGCACATAAATGAAGCCATGACATTAGCACACCAGTTTAAAAAGTTTTCACAAATGAATTTAACTTTATGTTAACGTGCATACGGCTACTGTAATGTACATAACCATTTTGTGTGTTGAACATCATTTGTGATGATTAGTAGTCCTCACAAACTTTAGGGAAAATACTATATTTCTTTTTTAAGAAGATAAAAGTTAAACAGTATTGCCATTTTAAGTAACACAGTCACACTCCCCAAAAAAAAAGTGCACTTGTATTTATACTGTTTTTATCTTAAAAAAGACGTCAAAAAGACCAGCAAAACTGTCTTTTATCTGGTTTTTTTGTAAACATTTTGTAGTTAATGTTTATATAACATATAAACGATACATATCTGCCTATAAAGCTTTGAAAATCTGGGTTTCTTGTCATAGAAATCATTATTACATTTAAATATGGTTCTGGGATTATCTCTATTCACTTTAGATCAGTTTTCTGTTTATTTTCAGACATGCATGTGACAGACCCCCCCCCCCCCCCCCACACACACACACACACACACACACACACACACACACACACACACACACACACACACACACACAGCATTAGCAGCTACGTCACACATTGGGAATGCAGTGAGGATCTGCGGCTGCAGCTAAAGGCCTGAGGATCCGTCACAAAGTAGGTTAACGACGCTAAAGCAACGAGAAAGTTATTTGGGGATAACTTTCTCTGGCCTTTGAACGTGTGCACGTACACATAGTGTTTGTGTGGCTGGTTTCTGGCGGTAGGTGTTTCCATTGTTTCCTCCTCGGTTGTGTTTTAAGTTAGCCTGGAGGCAAGGCACGAGTTCAAAACAGGCTAGCAAACAAGTAAACAAGCCTGTTATTAAATTAATTGTTGCTAATTATCCTTCGTTAGGGGCTTTTTCTGTCTTGTGTGATATGTTCTCTGAATATTTACAGTCTCAATGCTTGTTCTTCATTTGTAGATGAGCCTGAATGGAAGAGGAGAGTCACTGTAAAGGTACTGTAAAAGGTAGGAAATGCTTTCAAACATGTCTTGGAGAAAATGTTTGCGATGTATATAAAAACGACTCACCCAAATTGTCAAACTTCATGCTGGCTTATTTTTTAATTGTTCAGTTTAAGTAGGATATATGTCGCTACACTGTGTCAAACATTGAGCTAACTATAGCATTTTGCCTTCAAAATAAAAGCATGGAAACACCCTAGAAAAACGTGCACTGCTCAGGGTGGGTGCATTTTGGGTAATCGTGTCATTTCTCCCACGTATTTGAGATGTATTTATATTTATAGTTATCTAAATACGTCAACTTTGTGATAGTAAAAAGGCTTCAAGGTGAAGATATTTTATTTTGAACTTCAATCAAACGGATGTGGACCTTGTTATTTGTCGCGCTTCACTCTCGTTACTGTCATCAACTTTGACATTTGGTTGCTGCGTATTTTCTTAACGCCTAGCAGGAGTCCCTGGCGAGTAAACAAATGTAAACATCTATACAAGTTCTATGAATAATAAACAACAACAAAAAAAAAACCCAATTGGCTTTTCAGTGTGATAAATTCAATCCAATTAATTTCCTGGCCCAGCAATCCGCGGATTTGAGTATCATGCTCATCCGGATTCAGACAGGGGCTTAATTCAGATCGTTAGAGGAGGCGATGTGGTCACTCTTCTCTCCACGTGTTTCCCTGTCACTGAAGCCCCATGCATTCACTGTCTGTTGACCACAACAACATGAATCAAAGTGGTGATCTGGTGGAACATATAAAAGCAAATACAAGAGACTTTAAAGGCGTTTTTTAAGCGCTGTATCTGTGCTTGTTTGTCTCCGGCATCCTCTCGCTCATCACTTTAATCCTCTTACAAACAAGGATTTATGACGACCCCACATACAATCAATCTGAGTGGGTTAGGCCTGTTAATTTCTCCTCTCTGACAATGTTTATGTGCCTTCAATCCAGTCAGTCACACAATGTTTTTTTTCTAGAGGTACTTGCATCATTCCCATGCTTGTTTGGCATATTCCCCCCCCAAAAAAACTGTCAAAACAATTAATCCATGCCCAATCATCAGATCCTTCTTTGAGCATCTTTTTGTTTTCCGAATTTGTGGCACTAAACATTTCTGATATCTACATTTTCATAAAGGCCCGATGGGGCAAGTCAGCACTTTGTCGGCTCAGCTGTGTGTTGTTATTTACCCCCACAGAGAGAATACATAACATATTGTTATGAGCCAGGTGTCCATGTGTGTACAGACACACTTTACACACTGTATCCTGGCCTGTTTTTGTCTGTTCTTCATTTGGAAATCAATCATACCAGAGTGTAAACATCTGAAGACAATAACCATTGTGGGGGGACAACAGGCAAGGGGTAACCACCTGTTTGTGTATCTGTGTACGAGTTAGTGTGCTGAGGAGGTGTTTATCTGAAGAAGAAAAAAAAAAACACCAGCATACATGCACATGTTTCAGGGCCAGCTGGAAATCCCCGATCTTTCAGAAGGGCTTCTGTCTTCCTGTTCCTCCACTACAAGCCTATTGTTCAATCTGTGTGTCCCTGTTGCCATAGGAAACAAAATATGAAGCATCCCCTTGTTTCCATTGGTTTCTGATGTGAATACACACAGCAGCCAAAGCTGTGCAAAAGCTGCAAACATAGCCAGAGCAACAAAATGACAACTATAGCACACTGCAGATGAACTTTATTTTTCTCTTTTTGTCCCTGAAGCCTGCTATGTCTGGTCCCACCTGGCTTCCACCAAGGACTCTGGATAGCCCGGAGCGAGCCGTCCCCCAGATGTCCCACTCTGCAGGGTCAGCGATCTATAGAGCCCCCATCAAGAAGGGGATGTCTGACTTCCGGCCAAAGTATGGACCCTATGACCAGAACGGAGGAGGAGGAGGAGGTGGAGGAGGAGGAGGAGGAGGAGGGATGGCCAACAGATACATGGCTACTGGTCCCACAGGTCCCACAGGTAAGAGAACCACTAGTCACTTACATGAGTCAGGGGTGGCAGCCATACCAAAAGTGCACCTTTGCATCCTATAAAAAGTAGTTTATTGATAGCATTACGGAATTTATTCATTAAATATTGTGGATAAGTATGTAAAGAAATATACATAAAATCAATAGCACTCATTGAAATCCATAGCATAGAAAAATATTTATTTGTTATTTAAGCAAAAGTTATAAAAGAGTTGAATAAAAGCACAAAAAAAGACAACTCCTGCACACGTCTCTAATTCAGAAACGTGCTTCTAGGAGACTTTGACCTAAATTTAAATATGTTGTGCCTTCAGAGTTTCCCTCTTTATTTCCAAGACCTCAATATGTCTGGAGCAAATCTGGGAAATATCTAATGTGAGGTTGTTGTGGAACATTTTTTTACGACGTTTCGTATTCTCACGTTAAGGCGGGCCAATTCATCACTCGCCTAACGACCACTACTACACCCCTCCCCATGGTTCCAAAGAAGATCGCAACTGGAGCCCACACATGGACAGCTACGAACTCATGGTGGGTGCATTTTCTTTCAGCAAGTTGACAATTTTATTTTATTTTTTTACACTTCGGCGTTTTGATCTCCATGCTAAACAATCTCTGAGCGGTCATCTTCCAAGTAGAGACATTGAACAGTTTTGCTCTTGTGTTATTTTGAATCCACTTCCTGTGCCGTCACATTAAATCATCTTTATGTGTTGTTAGCATCGCGGTCCTGACAAACCAGCGAACTATCACTCCAAAATCGACGCGGACATCGACTCCCTCACCAGCATGCTGGCTGATCTAGACAGCCACCCGCAGGACTCCAGCACACAAGTACGGTGATAAACTAAACATTTTTCCTTTTTGTTTTTCATCATCCCTGTGCTCACTCTGCCACCAGTACTGAATGTTAGAACTCTTCTGACTCCCCTCAGCTGTACGACAATGTGCCTTACAACAAATACCTCTCAGGGGATCACTACCAGCCTGCCCACCAGAGCGCAGCCCCTCCTCAGGCTCGGCCCTCTATGGGCTACCCACCTCATCCCCACGGCCAATACCACTCATCACCCGCCTATCCCAACGAGCATCAGTCCACTCAGTACTCCACCTCCCACCAGCAGGACTACTACTCCCCCTCCTCGACCCCTAAGCCCTACCCTCAGCCTGTCCCGGCCTCCTACACCACCGCCTCCACCCCCACCGGGCCCAGGTTCAGCGTGCAGGTCAAGACCGCTCAGCCCGTCACCTACTCCCAATCTGGTAGACAGGCAGAGCAGGCATACACGCCTCCGCCTCCTCGCCAGCACGTGTCACGACCCCCGCCTCAGGCTCAGACAAGTCAGCAGGGCTGGTACCCTTCTCATGCCGGATCACAGGCTCAGGAGATGCACTCTGAGGCGGGGTACAAGGGAGGAAGAGTAAACCAGGTTCCAATGACCAAGAGAGGGATGGAAAGTAATCATACAGGGTCGGGGCCAGCTCAGAGCCCGGCCTATCAGTCCAATAAGGTAGGGACACACGTTTGCATCTCCAGCATGTTTGAAAAAAAAAAAAAGATTTATCTCACACTTGCATGTCAGGATGGTCATGAGAGGGTCTCCTTTGGTACTTATTGTTTCAACTTCAAGACATTTTGTTCAGCTAATGTTCGACACCTAGCCTTAAGTATCATGCATTTCATATTAACTGCTTACATAAGGCATGGATTCTGGGCTTTTGGTCTCCTAGCTTCATGTGCGATTTGTTTCATTTTCATCCAGCAGGGGTCGGCAACAGCCAGGCCTGAGGAAGAGTTGGACCGGCTCACCAAGAAGCTGGTATATGACATGAACCACCCCCCTGTAGAGGACTTTTTTGGTACGATCTTAACACATGAATGACTTGTGACATTACAAAGCCTGGCTTTAAATACAAAAAAAAAAAAAACGGATATCAGATTTAGACTTTGGCGTCAATGGTCTGGTTTCAGGTCGCTGTGCCCGCTGTGGTGACAACGTGGTCGGTGACGGCAGTGGCTGTATCGCCATGGAGCAGGTGTTCCACGTGGAGTGTTTTACCTGCATCACGTGCCACGCCCGTCTCAGAGGGCAACCGTTCTACGCCCTCGACAAGAAGAGTTACTGTGAGAGCTGTTATATTGTAAGTCAACAGAGACTTTAATTAAATCAAAATGACAGTGTTTTTATTTATTTGTACGGTGGCCTGGAGGGACACTTCAACCTTCACATCCACTAAAATCATCCCTAATCAAAATATGAAACTTAACAGTTTGTACTTTTCTTGTCAGAGTACATTAGAGCGCTGTTCAAAGTGCTCTAAGCCCATCCTGGACCGGATCCTGCGGGCCATGGGGAAGGCGTACCACCCTCGCTGTTTCACATGTGTAGTCTGTAACTGCTGCCTGGATGGAGTACCCTTCACTGTGGACGCAACGTCTCAGATACACTGCATAGACGACTTCCACAGGTACAAAGGCGGTCAAAGACCCTTTTTTTTTTTTTTGACATTTTTGTTTCTATTCAAATAAAGCTGTGTGGAGAAGTGATCGCCATGTCTGCTAACTGGAAATACTGCTGCTTGTTGCACCTGACAGAAAGTACGCACCTCGTTGTTCAGTGTGTGGGGAGCCCATCATGCCTGAACAGGGTCAGGAGGAGACCGTGAGGATTGTAGCTCTTGATCGCAGCTTCCATGTTAACTGTTACATCTGTGAGGTGAGTCCATGAGAGGTGGTTGAAGTGGTTTACTTCAGTGAAATGATGACTCATTATATGAGTCAGTCTTTATGTTTTTGTTGTAAATCTTTGAAGCTGGGATGTTTCACCCATGACAAATGTAAGATTATATTATCATATTGTCACTTTCAAGTGCCACAAATGTGCAGGATTTGTCAATGTGAGAGCGTCCAATTGAAGTTTCTTCAATCCTCAGGAATGTGGTCTCCTGCTGTCGTCTGAAGGAGAGGGTCGAGGCTGTTACCCGCTTGACGGCCACATCTTGTGCAAGAGCTGCAGCGCTCGCCGCATCCAGGACCTCTCGGCCAAAATCTCCACTGACTGCTAACAAACCCCTTCACATCGGCTCCGCCCTTCTCAGCCCTCCCACCCTTTCATATCCACAAACAGTGGACAGTTATCTACAGAAATAGAAACCCTTGCTGTGCTCTACTTTTTCTCTTCTTGGTCGCTTTGATAATGAGCGACATAAACTTTGCTACAGCGCCCTCTGTTGGGGTCAGTCTGCAATTGAATTTGCAGAGAAGCAATGCGTTACAGATTTAAAAGAGCAAATTGAGCTCTGATGAAGCAGCCACTACACTTTTTTTTTTCTTCAATTCAGAAGTCCTTCTACAATTCTTTCTTCCTTTTTTTTTTTTTTCTGTACACAGCAGCTCCATCTTTCATGTTTAGTTCAGTGTTAATACGACAGTGGCCTGACCTGCAGGCAGCTTGGGCTCCAATCCCCATTTCTCCACACCGGTACTGCTCAATGATTAGCTTGCACATTCTTATCACTATTAAAGACAATGAAAGAATCAAAAGGATTTCATAGGTTTAGACCTGAAAATGAGGGATTATTTTGTTTTTGCAGATGAGAGGCACAAATGATAGCTGGGATGATGGCTTGTAGAAAAAAAAAAATGTGGATTTGTACAGAACTGCCTCAAAACGAGCATTGTAAAAGCACGAAATGGAACAACTGTGACTGTACATAATAGGCGGGTTCCAAACTGGAAAGCATGTAGCGGCTAGCGCAGGGAAGTAGCCTCATAGCACGAGGAATGTAGACGAAAAGGAATGTGTAGTTACCTGGAACTCTGTTACTTTTTTTCTTTAGCTTTAACTACACACTAGTACAATATTTGTTAGGAAAAAAAAAACTCATTTTGACATAAATATAAACAAACCTTTTTCTTTCTTTTTTTTTTATCTTAATAGCATTCATGAATGTCTACGTCATGTTTGGTTGATACTTGACTGTTACATTGAAGTTGATGGTGCAATGAAGTCAAACATTTTCTTCTGTTTTAAAGGAAATCAGGGTGTAGGTCACTGATGTGGCTTCTTAAAAAAAAAAACATCCTATAATCTGAAGCTTGAGCCCCATGAAGAGTTTATAAATGTGCCATTTGGGGAAAGTGAAGTTATACTCAATTTAAGCAGATATTGGCTTCATTTATGAGCTTTACACTTTTTACAAACTGTTTATTCTGACTTAAAGTGGAATTTAATTTGTGATTATGAACTCCAACTCTTCGCTTATGGATTAGATTTTTGCTCTTTCTTGCACAAATGTGGGCCAAGTGGTCAACTTTGGAGCGACAGTGTTTGTTACGATTGTGTTTAACCGCCTGTTTCTCCGTCCGTTTTTTTTTTTTTTTGTATTGATGTACCTGAAAGGGCTAGAAATGTAAAAGCCTTACCTCAAGGATGTCGTTGAGTTTCATAATAATAATCTTTTGTGTGTGACAGATTTGATCATGCTAAAAACTGCCTTCATCTGTTAATTTATCTCCTATTGTATATATTCACTATTTACATTAGTCTGCTTTTTTCCTCCCGTCAGTTATCATTTCATTCATGATGAATGTGTCATTTTAAAAAAAATCCTCACTCATGCCAACTCTTGTGTCATACTCCTTGAATCACGTCCTTCTTCTTTCCCCGTCATGATTTGTCCTTCATTAATAATCGATCCTTACTGCGTGTTCAGATTGAAATGCTGTGAATTGGAGCTTATAGATCAGCAACCTGTGGTACTGCAGCAGACGTGTGTTTGTGCTGATGAATTCAGAAGAAGTAAAGGAAGGTGATGACGTGTAAAGGCAGGTAGTTACTTTAAATAAGAGAGAGCAACTAAACATGGAAGGATTTTCTCCTAATGTAACAGAATTGATTATTAAAAAGTCAACAAGTCGAACTGTGTCTGTCACTTTTTTTTTTTTTACTAAAGGTCATGTACAAAACTTAAAGGGGCACTTCATCAGAAAATTCTAAAGCCTGAACGTCTGAAGGATCTTCCTTAAAGGCAGAAATTGAGTGAGAATCGTGTGTACATGGACCTTGTGTATAAAGCTGTTTTAGTCGAGTGGCTGCATTGGCTGAATGACTAACAGGATGGACTCAGTAGAGAACGCTTCTCATCAGTAACGGTTGTTGTATAAGACATGAACCCCTGCTACATGACCATGTCTTCAAAATGAATCCATTTTTTTGATTGACAAGCACCAACTTAGGGCTGCGTGTACATCTTAGCTTGAATAGACCACATAGGAAATGTGGAATTGCTTTGCATCATGGGAAATGAAGGATTCAGTGCTACTGGAGACAGAAACGCTCTATATCTCAGACTTATTTCAAGTCTCCAAATGTTATGGGAATGCTAAATTTAACTGTGGTACCGTCACCTTTAATATGCAAATTAGAGAGAAAAAACTTTCACAAACGCATTCTTTAAAATCAGAAACATTTATTTGACAAGCTGTGTACATCCCTGCCGATCTTCAAGCATACAGTCTTATCACTGCAGCGTACGGCGGTTACAAACAAAGTGAGCCGACAAGGATGAACTCATCACCCTGAAACACAGTAAACAAACAAACGCAGGCTTTTAATAAGCACTCCTCCTCTTGTGTTAACACGAGGTGAACGTCTTCCAGAAGAAGTTACGGCAGCCCGCCTTGCGCTCCCTGTGGGAGAGGGGAAGATGACGCCTCATCACCTCCTCTCTGACTCCCAGCACCTCCTCGGACTCGGGGAGCATCTCGTCCCCTCTGGCCGCCATCAGTTCAGACATGAGCTTCAGCAGGAGCAAAGGAGCGAGATCCTGAAGGAGAACATGGAGGAATGGACGCTTGATAAGCTAATTTAAAGTTGTTCATTTCCACATGAGAATCACCTCCTTCATCATTTCAGCATTTTAAATATTCCTCTTTTTTTCCTTTCATCTATTAGCCACTCACCTTGTCGTTTACGAGGTCTTCTCTCAGTGTTTCAGTCAGCATGTCTGAGTGTGGAGCAGCGCTGACCTCCAGCAGCAGCACTGAGGAAAACAAAACCACAAAAAACACCTGAACCTGAAAGTGATGCATCTCCAACTCAAACAGAATCCAATTTTTTCCTCTTTCTTCTAAATCCCCTGATCCTTTCTTCCAAGCTGACGATGTAGAAAAGCTTCCCCAACCCAAAAAAAATACAAGTGAAACAGTAAGAAAGTTTGGTGGCAGAGGAGCTGAGCGTTACAACTGTTTGAGTAGGATGTGTCGCGCTGATAAATACAGCTCTTCATCTTCAAATCCTCCTCATCCTCAAGCCGACAAAAGAATGTGATTGGTGGAGAAGTGTGGAGGTGGAGGTTATAAAGAGAAGTGTCACTCGGGCAGGTTAAGATCACCATTAGCTGTGACAACATCGTGCAGAACCTCCAGCGATCACATCTCAGGCTGACGAAAGGTTCTACTGCAGTAACTTTGAAAAGTCAAATATTAGAAGCAAAACAGAACCATTAGAATGAATGGTTATTGAATAATTGAATGATCGTATTCGTGATGAGCTGCAGCAGCTTTGTAGGTGTCCTGCACAGAACGCGAGGCCGTCACGCTGTGCGGAGCTGTTAGTGACACAATGTGACTCAAATGTTAATGAGGCTGCTTTGCACCAGCCGTAATACTGTCACTTGAGTCAGAGAAGAAAATAAACACAGAGAACAGCTAAATGTCAAGCTGCAAAACAAAACTCTCGAGTAAGTGTTTTTTTTTGTTTTGTTTGCTGTCTGAAGAAAAGGAATTGTTCGAGGCAGAAACTACTACAGTAGTTTTTACTTTCCGTGAAGTTTTTATCGAATTGAATCTTTTTATGTAACACATGATGAGAAGGAACACAACCGGCCCCGCTGAGAAACCGCTCTGACTTAGTTTAGTGGCTGTCAACCCGCAGAGTAGGACCCAAAATGGGGACATAAGATCAATACGAGCGGACTCCATGCAGTTAAAAAGTAACTTCAGGGGCACTGGTGGCGCAGTGGTTGGTGCGTGCGCCCCATGTATGGAGGCTATGGTCCTCAAAGCGGGCGGCCCAGGTTCGAATCCAGCCTTTGGCTCCTTTCCCGCATGTCATTACCTACTCTCTCTCTCTCTCCCTCTGAATTCCAGCTCTATCCACTGTCCGGTCTCTACAATAAAGGCATAAAAAAAAAAAAAAAAAGATCCATACACCACTGATGAAGCAGCCCAAGGACACATTGGACATGTGGCTGCAGGAGCTGGGAATCGAACCCCCAACCATCCGGTTGAAAGACGATCAACTCTTCCAACTGAGCCACAGCCACAAGGACCTTGTTTTTTTTTCCCACTTGGTTATAAATCCAAGTTTAAATTTGTTGGGGCGCTGGTGGTTCAGTGGTTAGTGCACGCGGTCCATGTACAGAGGCTGTACTCCTCAAAGCGGGCGGCCCAGGTTCAAATCCAGCCTGTGGCTCCTTTCCCGCATGTCATTCCCCACTCTCTCTCTCTCCCTGATTTCTGACTCTATCTCTCCATTAAAAGGCACAAAAAGCCCAAAAATACATCTTAAAAAAAAAAAAGATTTTGCTTACGTTACCACACATGTCTCTGCGACTAAACAGACTGAGATCTGAAGATCGTCAAGGCTTCATAATAGTTTTCCTTTAATCAACACTTTCTCCCTCTTCAGAGAGTACGGTAAATCTTTCTGTCTGAATCAATCACGCCACTGTGAGTGTGACACCTCTCGTGTTCATTTATCATCCCCTCATTAATCACACCCATTAAGCTTGAATTGCGCTCCAACATAGTCATGCATCCTCACTGACCTTTAATTCCCACCACAGGACTCTCAGTAAGAAGCGGGATTACTCAGTCTGAGGTCTTTCATCACGACACGACTTCACTTTAAGTAAGCAGAGAGGATGTGGTGAACGGCGTCCAGCTGTGGCGAGGGGCGGTTTGAACAGTGATGTTGATCACATGAATACATCCTCCACACCTGCTGGTACATGGTATAGAAAAGTGTCATTACATCAGCAGCGTGTCAGAGTTCATTATAAATCTTCACCTATAGTTACTCCTCCTGCGGGCATGCACACAACGCCACAGGATACTACATGCTGTGGTTAATATTAACATATATCTCACACATTATCTTTGATTTTATAACAGGAAGTAAGATATTCCTCTGTTAAGAAAATATTCAAATTATAGACGATGACATACTCCGCACTACTGAGTTTTACACTCAGTTGTTGAACATGCTACACACACATGTGCTGAAATACACACACATGCACAAACAGGATCCTATGGATGACAGATTGAAGGGGCTGTGCACAGGCAGTGGGGGGGCAGTATCTTCCCTACATTTAGGGAAGATACACTTTTATGTCGTTTTTACGGACAAATAAAAGTAAACAAACGGTGTAGGTCAGATCAAATTAGTTCACGTTTGTGAAACCATGTTACTATGACTATCGCTGACTCCGAAAACAGCAATAAATGGGCTTTATTTGAATTTTTTAGCTTCAGGTAACAGAACAACTTAGCATTCATTTGCATGTGAAAAATGCTGCTTGATAAATGTTGTGCAGTCACTTTATACGAGTGCTTGTTAAAAAGAGAGAGCATGTGGTGATGCATCATTTTGTATTCAATCATTCATGCATTACCATAAATGAGACTAATTGAATTAAATTATGTAGCTTACATAGAGTAGAAGCAACAATCACTACTGTTGCTTGAGAGGAAGAAAAAACAGTAATGCCATCTTCCCAGTGTTGTAAAAATATACTGATACAAAAACTGATGTGAAAAATAAAACTCCACTAAAAGTCAAAATCCTTCATTAAAAAAAAAAAAACCAGTAAAGTTAAAGTATAAGTAGCTACAGGCTTTGAAACTAGCTGCTACATTAATGTTTCTGTGTACAGAGGTAGTTTAAGACTGAGTAAATTATATAACAATAAAGGCTGAGACTTTGTATGCTGATAGGTTTATGATACAGAAAAGTAATGGTCGTTTCCACTGTTTAATCCCAGTTCAATACAGTAAACAACTGCATACGTTTCTCCACTAGGTGTCACTGTAACATCACATTTAATCTGAGCCTCAAACGACGCAGCCTTCTTTTATTTATGACTCAAGAATTATCCTTGAAGTTTCTTCTTTAAATAAACCTAAATGAGAGGGTGTGTGTGTGTGTGTGTGTGTGTGTGTGTGTGTTTATTCACTGTTTCCATCAAGATGAAGCAAGGCAAAGAAAATGTAGCTCCTAATTGGCTTCTAAATCAACAGGTGAGTTGAATAAAGATGACGACGTTTTCCCGACAGCTTTCAAGTCGACTCAACCTAATGTGCACTTATTCTCGGAAAAATGAATATATGTTGGCTTCTTCTGTGTGGGTGAGTTTCTAGTTTTAAAGTCGTCACAGTGTGGTAAACCTGCAACACTTGTGACGGTCTGTGTGTTTCTGTTGCAGTGTGGCGTTGCTGCTCGCCTTACCTGTTTGTGTGACGAGCTCAGTGCCGACAGGTAAGACCAGCACAGAAACACCTCGAATGAATTTGTCTGCGTCACTATGTTGGCAAGGCCTGACGGAGAAGCAGTGAACTGTGAAAGCTCCAGGTAAACTGTGTATCCTCAGCCATGCTGTTAAATGTGTTAATATAGCAACTTTAGAGGTTTACATAGCATTATAAAAATATCCCTCACCCCGGGGGAAATAACACAAGTCAAGGCTGCTGTTTGAATTGATAGACAGGGTACAGAGGCCTATAATACAAGGTGGATATACAGGTAGTGTTATTGTAGTGCACCTGTTCATTAAACTGTTGAATCAAAAAGCACAACTTCCCCCCCCCCCCCCGCCCCTTTTTTTTAAAATATGAATATTCCTTTTAAGATAATTGGATATGAAAAATGGCTGCAAAAATGACAGAAATTAATCTAATTTAAATCAAATTCCATAAGATGTGTCACACTGGTGTGCAGTTGCCTATACTAAAAAACAAAATATTCAAAATAGAAATCATTTTGTTGATTTTTTTTAATTTTTTTTTTAATAAGAATCTACTCTTAATGTCCTTACAGCTTAGCTAACATGACACCCTCTGCATTGTTTAATGGATTTACTCGTGAATTGATTCTTTATGTTTTCAGGAAGATTTCAGACCAGATGTCTTGAGCGTCACTTTTCGCTATCGGTCAAGTCCAGTTTCCTCGGTCTAAAGACACGTTTTGACTTTGAAGGTACATTTCTTCATACTTCATGAGACACTGGGCTCCAGTAAAGATATTAGTCGTTGAAGTTGAAGACCTTTTCCTGTAATTCACCAGACCAGTATGGACTCCACTCCTTGACTGATCAGGAGGCCACACTCTGCGGTTACAGCGTCATCATCAGTGATGTAGGAGACCTGGTATTCAGAGCTTCCTTCCTCGCCTGCCATGTCCAAAGCAAGGTAGATACTTCTCCTAATTTTTATGCTTTTTGAATTCATAACAGCCCAACACTTCATTGTCTTTCCTCTGCAGACAGACACAGACTATCACCTGCGTCTGTGGTTTGTGAACGTACAGGCTGATGGGGAGGAGGAGGTGTATCCCTTACAGCTTCACTGTTTACTTCAGGGTCAGTGGAGCCCCAGAGAGATCGTCTGTGAGGAAAACTACATGGAGGTGAGTCAATAACCTGTGTAGACAGATATAGAGTCTTATTCACACCTTTTAATTATCTCCTCTCTAATTAATAACAGAGAGATTAAAGAGAGCGGTTAAAGATAAGAACTAGTTTCAGTAAAAGTCCTTCAAAATAAAAGTCCAAAGGGGGAAGAAAGAACATGGATGCTGCTGGATTGTATCTGCTCTAGAACCGAAGAGGAAACAGATTCAAAGGTGGACGTGCTAGGTTATAATAAGTTTGGATTTATCCCCGAAGAATAAGAGAATGTATTCTAATTACAAGACCAAAAGAAGGAAACTTACACAAATAGAAGAGAAAAATCCCAAGTAATGGAAGATTCAACGTTTCTAACCATCACAGGTTTGAAAAGAATAACTGTTCAGTATTAGTTATACAACACTAATCCTACATTATTATTTTTTTTCTGGCAATTTGTATCCTTCAATCAACTTTTTCATCAGAACTTGAAGGTTAAATGTTCCGACATGTTCAGGGGTTGTAGAGGATTTACACAGTTTGAATGAGGAAAAATG